GTCCCTGGAATATCTGATATCTATTCACATCAGAGTCATTGACTTTCATCAAAATATTGAGTTGAATTTTCATGAAAATGTTTGGGTTTTTTTCGGTAAATGATTGTAATGAAAATAAAAAAAATTGTCTCAAAACTTCTCAAGAAATGACCATTTTTCGCAAACAGAAATCGTAAATGCATAATCCCCTCATTTTTAAACATCCACGAATGATAATAATAATTATACTCAAATCCTAACAAAGTTGTATTTATTCAGGTTTCTGCAGTTTAGTCCTGTTTAAAAATCTGTTTGACACATAAATCTTCAGAAGGCATATCAGCCAATGGATTAAGGTGCGTGCCTGATAAGCTAAAAGTCCCTGGTTCAAACCCTTCTCGACCTAATTTTTTTCTTTTTTCGAAGGGATGTCCCTGGAATATCCTTGCGACCTCCTAGTGATATCCCGTCTCCGTTCTTGGTACATCCCAGGGACGTACCAGACGGAAATCCCTTGAATGCTTTTTTTGTCAGCCAGCTGATGTCCCTGGGACGTCCCTAGTATGTACTCTGTCCCGACAAAGGATATCTCTGGGATGTCCTTGTATAAAACTAGGGACGTCCCTGGGAAGTCCCTAGGATGTACTTGTGTTGTTAGGACGACAAACGGCGACGGCTTGGCAGCCATATCGCCGACAATCGCACCGAGTCGGCCTCCCCACAAAAGTCAAAGGAAAATATTTGCACTCCAAGTTTCGGCAATACATAGGTCGAATCAATGTTCGGACGCATTGTTCCGCGTTTTTCATGTGATAAATATCAGTATAATTTCAATAATAAAAATTTCGAAAATTGTACATAGCTCTGACAAGAAAATGATTTCCGACAGTGAATGGGAAAGACCACTGAGGAGAGAGATCCGTGCAAACCTCTTTCAATCGACGAATCATGATTCACATTTTATGTACAATCAATATTATGAGTTGAAGTTGAAGGGAATCGAATCTATAATGTTTTGAAACCAGCATGTTTCATTCGGTATTCCAAACAGCCAAATATGTTGGTGGAGTCGTGACGTATTAGTCCCGAACTGAAGCTATCTCTCTCTGATACCTCGTCATTCTGCAGTGTTGTAGTGTAATTGGTCAGTTCAAGGACAATAGGCGTGTTGGGACCAAGACGTCGCACCAGTCACACCAATGAATTGATGAAATTTGAAATGGCGCAGGAATTGTGTGTTTTGAAATGGACACATACTAATTTATTGTTTTCATCGTCTTAGCATGAATGAAAAAATTCAAAATTAATTCACTGGTAGTTTTTCAGTGTAGAGTTCACGATAATGTCGTTTCAAAAAATCAGTGGTCTTCCCTATTATATAGTTTGATTTTGTAAATCGACATAATGAAATATGAAATTCCACTCAAACAGACCCATTTAGATTCAGTTCTAGGGTAAAATACACTAAGGTGACAACACTGGTCCGGGTTCGTGAATTTCAATCAAATTTATGAGCAGCTTATATATTGATATCCGCTGACCAGTTTATTCCACAATCGCCAAAAATGGAAGCATATTTTGTTGAGACATAAAATTTTGTGATTCACTCTAATTCGATTTCTATAAACTTTTTTCATGATCTCACGTCCGTGATGCGCTCGTTAGAAGCACATCCAGTACAACTATTACTAACAAATTCGAATTTACCGCCATTCGTGAATTAAAAAATGAGTGATAAATGTTTGCTATTGCCTCCGACAACCTTGAACGTGCAAAGGCATTCTTGAACAAATAACAAACTTTTCACATTTTGAGCTCCATCTAATGGTACATCATCCAGTTCGCGCAAAACGTACTAGATTAGATGCTTTTAGAGCCGACTGCTGCGACGGTACCTCCATCTAGCAGAGAGTACCTGAACTACGATATTCAAGTTTTCTACCATCTAATTTAAAGAAGATATTATCCATACAAGATATACCGGGTGACACAGGCTATCGGGCCACCCCTGAAACTTCTGCATTCGTCAACGGATTTTTCTGAAATTCGGTACAGTTATATAAGCAATTATTTCGGATTTGATCACATTTCAATCCAATATGGCGGACTTCCGGTTTTTCTGGAAATGCCAGCAATTTTGTTTTTTCAAATGGAACACCCTGTATATTTTTACATATTCAAGTTTAACAGGTCAAAACAAGTGCAATATTGATGTCAAATGTCATTTATTCCACAGCCTACCTAGTTGAAAAATTATTCTAACTGCAAGGAAATTCAGTAGTTGTTGATTTTTGAATGTATACAATTTGTTACTGCACCGAAAAACAAAAATGATATTTCATTTTGTTCCTTATTGTATGTTCTAGAGAAACGGGTAGGTGGCCCATAGGGGTTCCATTTGAAAAAAAATAATTTTTGATCAAAAAGTGATGTGGCTGAATTGATTCCTGGATAAGTGACACAAAAAATAATTTTTCAGAAGAAATTATGTTCTTCTGTTATGTGTGACTCATTGTGAGTAGTCTTGACCACATCTCATTTATCCACGAGGTAGAATGAAAAAACAATCTTAATTTAATTTTTTTCGAAAAAATGACATTTGAAATAAAGATTGCACTTGTTTCGACCTGTTGAACTTGAATATGTAAAAATATACAGGGTGTTTCATTTGAAAAAACAAAGTTGCTGGCATTTCCAGAAATACCGGAAGTCCGCCATATTGGATTGTAATGTGATCAAATCCGAAATAATTGCTTATATAACTGTGCCGAATTTCAGAAGAATCCGATGACGAAAGCAGAAGTTACAGGGGTGGCCCGATACCCTGTGTCACCCGGTATAGGCCTATTGTTTACATAAATTGAATATAAAAAAGGCTTTCATCTAAATGGTTACATTTCAAGAGCTGAAATTCTAGTGTGGGTTGCCCAAAATAATAACGCAGGGTATGAGTGAATATAACGTTATTCTGAGACACAAAATTTTACAATGTTCACATCTTTTTGATCTTCTGCAGCTTTCTTAATCGAACGAAATTTGCCTTCAAAACTATCCAAACCCGAGTCGGAACTTTCGTCTTTATGATGATTCAATCTATTTGGCAATCGGACTTTTAATAACGCCGAAAGTCATTTCATAGTAGAGGTCTGCATTCCAGCCATTGTGAAATGACCTTGGTTACGCCCCTCTTAAAGTCGAGTCTGTAGATTGATAGCCGAGTCCTTAACCGACAGTTTTTCGCCGAGGAGCATATTACATTTTTTCGTCGACCTCAAACACTTATACATCACGGTCTGATTCACACGTGAAATCTATCGGATTTCGTGAATAATTTATTTGATAACAGCAAATAACAGTTTTTTTTGTCCTCGCAGATTAAGGTTGCCAGTTCGATTTTTATTTCATCAGTAAATACCTTGTCAAAAATTCAGATCTATTTTATTCTATACGAATTGCAAGAAAGTATAATGAAATAAATGTACTTTGAGTAAACAAAAAAGTCACTCATTTCCAACAATTTGAAAATGCTCACAAATATCACAAAACACAGTTACATATAAGAGTATACAGAGTGGGCCTTTGAAAACGAAACAGAGGCTCTGAGGGTCGCCAAAACCGGATTATGAAAAAAATCTGAAACACGTCAACTACATTTTCGAGGGGGACATCGTTCTACAATATTTTCAGCCCTGCGGCGTTGCCGCTGCTAACGAAAAGAAGCAACAACTTTGTTATTTCAAATGGAACACCTTGTATTTTATTGCATTTTTAGATTCTCCCCGAAGAGCTGATTTCATCAATGCATCACACTTGGGGTCTAGCTGTAATGGTTTCAGGGATATAAAGTGTTCAAAATCGAGATTTTTCAACTTTAACATTTTTTTGTGTCGAAACTATTCATTATTGGTCAAAACGACTCCCATGTCCCTATCTCAACTTGTGATTCACTATCTACTAACATTCACTTGGAACAGATACAGGGTGGTCAGAATTTTGAATCTTGAACCACCCTGTATTTGTTTCAAATAAATGTCAGTAGATAGTAAATCACAAGTTGAGATAGGGACATGAGAGCCGTTTTGACCAATAATAAATGGTTTCGACACAAAAAAATGTTTAAGTTGAAAAATCTCGATTTTGAACACTTTATATCCCTGAAACCATTACAGCTAGACCCCAAGTGTGATGCATTGATGAAATCAGCTCTTCGGGGAGAATCTAAAAATGCAATAAAATACAAGGTGTTCCATTTGAAATAACAAAGTTGTTGCTTCTTTTTTTTAGAAGCGGCAACGCCGCAGGGCTGAAAATATTTTAGAAAGATGTCCCCCTCGAAAATGTAGTTGACCTGTTTCAGTTTTTTTTGATAATCCGGTTTTGGCGACCTACAGAGCCTCTGTTTCGTTTTCAAAGGCCCACTCTGTATAATAAATTAAAAGTAAAAAAAGAATTTTTAATAAATAGCTTTTACTTTAACGCTCTGAAAAGAATAAAATGAAATGTTCCCTCATAATTTCAACTATCAACTTATAACCTCATTATACACATTATATGATCATAAAACGAGGCTAACAATATGCCGTTCAAAACGTTTTAAAATTGCGAGTAGTTCCGGAGATGTCTAAAAAACCGAAATTTGTCGATTACTTTTTTCTGACGTTATTTAAAGAGATAGGAAAACAACTTTCTCTCTGCCACCTTTCAAGCTCTACAACGGTGAGAAATTTTATTCAGGGTATACTTTTTTTACGGGCCGTATAAAAAAATAAAGTAATGATGGTTTTTACGAAACGAAACGTCACGTCGTACGAGAAATCTCTCAACGCTGTTTTGCAGAGCTTGAAAAGTGGCAATCAAAAACTGTCTTGTTTTCCTATATCTCTTTAAATAACGTCAGAATAAAATGAAAACGAAAATTTTTAGGTATATCTCCGGAACTACTCGGAATTCTCCTAAATTTTTCACTTGCAAAGCCCTAATTACAGTAAAAAATTGTAAATTTGTAGTTTCTCTTCTTCCAGGTCACTCACATTCCGCTACCAATGGACACGCCGTTCCGGAAATGGATCCCGAAGGAGAACCGGAGATCACTTTGGAATTCTTCGATGTGGTCCACCACGGAACTATCCTGGAGTCGTTGAACACCATGAGGAAAAATCGACATTTTTGCGATGTTATTCTTCACGTATGTGCCTGACTGTACCGCCAACACATTTTATAAGTTTCAAGTAATCTGCATTAAGGTCTTTCACCTGCTGAACAAATTGTATTTGATTGAAAATATTGGTTTTTGTTTTTGATATTCGGTGACACCACTACTTGAATATATTATGATGCATCTGATCAAAACATTGACAACTCACCTTAATTGAAAGTATTTGCAATAAAACTAATTATGAACAACTTGTTGAGTAGTAAGAAATTGGATATTGAAACAAAAATCCACAACTGAATATAATCCAAGAGCCGGCTGCATATTTCGACCGGCATCTGATAACGAAATGACAAATGTCCCAAAGGCATGTAAAAACATTGTTTTTTATCAAACGGCACCTGTGCCAGTCACTATCTTGAGCAAAATGATTGAAATTGCACTTCTCTGTGTGGTATTTTTAGCCAAATTTCGCGATTTGATTATGAGATATAAATTATGCCATCCGATACCAATGAGGGCTAACATTATTTATTGTAATCTCTGGTAGAAGTCCAACATTTCCCAAAGTGGAGTGTAGTTCTACTAACTAAATAAAACTCAAAATCATCTCCACGACCGTTTACTATGTGAACAATGTCACATCAGGAGGAATATGTTTTCGGACATAAGTATGTCCATCATCAGCCTATTAGAAATTAGTCCTACAAGAGACAAAAATGAGTGTAAAGTGAAATTCTTACCATACAATCGCATACATGAAGGTGAAAAAAGTATCTGCAATTACATTGAAATTGAAAATTGAAGAAAGTTACACATAACAGTATCGGAACATTAGTACTGTTATGTGTATCTTTCTTCGATTTCAATGTGATTGCAGATAATTTTTCCCCTTCATGTAAGCGATTGTATGGTTATAATTTCACTTTACACTCATTTTTGTCTCTTGTAGGACTAATTTCTTATAGGCTGATGATGGACATATGTATGTCCGAAAACATGTTCCCCTTGATGTGACATTGTTCACATAGCAAACTGTCGTGGAGATGATTTTGAGTTTTATTTAGTTATCAATATTTATTGTCCACCACATCGCGCCACTGAAACGTGAGGTCAGAGTTGGTAGAACTTCTTCTTTTAGTATCATTTATGTTCTTCCTACGAGATCTTTTTCTCCCTCATTTTTTTCGAATATTTTCGATTAAACAGGCCACTAGAGCTTTCGGGCTAAATTTTGGGATTTTTGACATTGTCACGTTTTAGTAGCACCAACTGGTGAGACTGAAAATGTTAGCTCTCATTGAATGGTAAATCTCAAAACCCTACCTGTGCCACCCCTCAAGTTGAGTCAATCCTTGGCACAGCGGTTTTTTGCTGCTGTCATTCTGGACATACTTTCGTTATAGTTGGATCAAAATGCAAATAAAAGGGGATGGTGTCCCCTTCGTTAATATCTAAACTTGCCGCTAATCAACCTGATATAAGTTTGTGGCAGAGCGTCCTTATTTCTGAGAATATTCTGACCCTTTTATAGATTATATCCTATGAACCAGATTATTGAACTGATGGTCCATCGGATATTATCTTTAACCCTACATTAGGATTAGGCGCTTGGACTCTACTAGCGCGCTTGGGCGCGTGGATTACAACGATTGTTTTTTATGCCAATTTCAGAAAAAGAAATAGCATCTATTATATTCCACGTTCATTGATATTCAAACTTCGACATGTGACATGTTCACATATTATTTTTACAAAAATTTCACGACAAAGAATTAAAAAATGTCTTCAAATTTTAGTCTTTACTTTGGCAGGTTACATTTCAATTGCGTCAAAAGTGAACATTATCACGAGAAATATCTTGTGATTTCTCTCGAACAAACATATAGTTAACCAAACTAAACATCTATGACAAAAACATATCAACAAATAAAGGAAAAAAACAAGTCAAACAAGTCAAACAAGTGGTGCACACATCTCTCATGTGTTCTTTACAAGCATGATGGCAACATGTTTGACAAATCTTCCTTGTTGATTTATTTCGGTTTCATGAGCAAATTGTACAACGTCGAATGATATTATTTGCTGGAATATTTGGTAGTGGTGGAGGGGGTAAGATTTATTCAAGTTCAAGTAAACGCCGTGATCGTCGCCTAAGTTCTTTTGGTAAGAATGAAATCGTTGACTTGTATTCAATTCGAGGTTTGATCAATTCCCATGCTAATTTTTTCTGAAATTCGATCAGAATATTTCCGCCTCAGGGTGATTAGCTTCATGTACACAGGCAGCGTTTATACCAGATATATTCAGCAAGTCATAAAATACAACCATTGGCATAGTCAGACATTCTGTCTGGAATGAAAATTCAAAATTATTACGTACAATTGAGTTTTGAGTTATGAATATAAAAAAACATATAAGGAATGAATAATGAAACTAACGTTGACTCGGTAACAGAAACCTCTGAATTATTCACACTGCTTGAAAAATGTAACAGGAATAGGTGCGTGGATTACAATTGTAATCCAGTCGTCTTTGACAGTCGATAATAACAGCAAATTCAGTCCGAACTCGATAGTTTCACACTGATGAGGTAGTTCATAGTATTACCGACAGTTACTCAAGTAGACTACCCCACCAACCAATCATTATTCAATTAGTAGCCGGAAAAATGGGGCTGGATTTCGAATGTAATCCACGCGCATAATGGAAGGTCAAAGAAGGGTGACATATTCTCGGAAATATTGATGCTCTGCCACTGACTTAGATCAGTTTGAATCGCGACACGTTTGGATATTCATGAAATTAGCATTATACGATCTTATTCTCATTTTCTTTCATCTCGTTATCACCTGACGGGAAGTATGTCTGGAATAACAGCAGCAAGAAATCGCTGTGCCGAGGATTTGACTCAACTTAAGGGGTGGCACAGGTAGGGTTTTGAGATCTGCGATGGGGCAGACCACTGAGGGAAGAAATCCGTGCAAACCTCTTTCAATCGACGAATCATGATTTACGTTTCATGTACAATCAATATTATGAGTTGAAGTTGAAGGGAATCGAATCTATATCGTTTGGAAATCAGCATATTTCATTCGATATTTCAAAAAGCCAAATATGATGTGTAACTGTAGCTATCTCTCTCTGATACCTCGTCATTCTGAAGTGTTGCAGTGTGATACCAATGAATTGACAAAATTTCAAATGGCCTAGGAATTATGTGTTTTGAAATGGACATATTCTAATTTTTTTTTCATCGTCTTAGCATGAATAAAAAAATTCAAAATTAATTCACTGGTAGTTTTTCAGTATAGAGTTCACGATAATGTCGTTTTAAAAAATCAGTGGTCTCCCCCATCATTGGTATCGATTGCATAATAGAGTACTGTCACCTGACGTCAGATGTCACGAATAAAACAGTGTGTGAATGTTATTTTATTCGTTCTGACCCATTGGCGATTTTGTTGAACTTGTAAATATTATACGAGCAAAAGTGTATACGTTCTTGCAATCTGAATATCTATTGAGGTATATTAGGAGCTATATCAGGTGTATTAGAGCTGAACTTCAAGTGAATCCAGTAATTCAAAATTGACACATGAAGTAATTGAATTTTTTCATTGGAATTATTTACTTTCCTCACAGTATACACGATGTATGAATCAATAAACATGTCAATAAAGAGAGGCTCCTAATGGGAAATGTGCAAGAAAGTTACATGTACCCTTACCGAAAATGTATATTATGCTTGTCTCCCCATCAGCTGTTTATCTCGTTATCACAGGTAAGTGCCGTTTGTCAATCAATTTGCTCAGAATAGTGATTGGCACAGGTGCCGTACAATAAAATAAAATGTTTACATACCTTTTGGACACGTGTCATTTCGCTTTCAGATGACGGTCGAAATTTTCAGCCGGCTCTGCTAGTAATGTGTGTTATGAAGTGGTTGTGAAATAGTCGTGAGGGAAGTCGATATTCATCTCTTCATTCAAACCCCGTTGAATACAATTTTGTTCATATTAATGTTGCTAATACATGTCCTAGCAGGTATCTAAATAAACCGAGAAATAAACTGTAAGATTATGTGAAACTTTTAAAATTGTTACTGTATACAGTCAGCTACACTACTGGGCAGCTCTCAAAATCACCATATTTGAAATAAAAATGACCAGTAGTGAGTAGATTTTGAGTCATTTAATTTTAGAACTAGCTCTATTTCTGATCGAAATCCATGATATGTTTGGGAGAACATTATGAAATGAATTATTATGGTGTCTATATTTGATCATTCCTATTATCGAATTGGAAATACTTGAATATCAATTTTGAAAGTACACTGATATAGATTCTATTCTGTTTTCATAACTCAATCGGGAAGTAAAATTCCCATGCGTTATTTTTTTTAGATAAAAATATAATTGAAAATTGGGAAATTTTCAATTACTAATTGTGTTACGGCTACCATGTCCAGGTAATAATTTAAATGAACAAAAACAAATCATGGATGAAATTTGATCACAATTAATCAATGTTATTGTTATATCCCTATTTTCTTCCAGAAAGAGTCTCATTAGACCAAGATTAGGTAAACATTTTTCAATACCTCTATTATGTCGTTCTTTCTTTCGTCGAAGAACGTTTTAATTTTTTCTGTTTTACAGAGCATTTCATGAGGTTAGGTGATGGTAACAATATTTATTATTTTATAACAATTTTTTATTTATTTCAATTCGAAGCCTATTTTTATTGACGCAAAGTCACAAATAAACCGTTTCATAATATATTTCTCGACAGGTTGGAAATACTGAAATTCATGCTCACCGTTCCGTATTGGCAAGTGCTTCTCCATATCTGTTGGAATTGTTCACTACAGAAGAAGATCAGAAACGGTTCGAAAATATAGTTACATATACTCTGAACGGTGGATTCGATAAAGATGCTCTCCAAATTTTGATTGAGTATGCATACACTGGAAAACTTCATGTTGCTGATGCTGATGTGAGTATATATCAGTTTATAAAAATAAGTATCTTACAATTATTTGAAGTTAATGTCTGGAGTTTGACTAAAAACTAATATTGGCTAAAAACTCACTCATGCGACCATAAATCTATTATTCCACAATGATCCATGCTGCATTCTGTATCTATTCTGGGTCTGGCTCAACCCTGAGTTAATAGTTCACCTATAATTCAATCTAGACTACCTTAAACATCTTCAATATCTCATGCTTTTCAGAGGAACACATTCAACTGCATATTATTTCCATTAAAGATAATGATAATAAAAATGATAATAATAATAATAAATATACTTTATTGTCCAAAGATGAGAATCTTGTTGACAAAGCTTAGAATTCATAATAAATAAATAATTTAAGAAAAACTGTGATTTTACAAAACATACTAAATATCTCATCAATCACATCTACTTATTGATAGGTTTTGGTATAGGTACTCGAAATTATAGTAAATCGGCACAAGTACACATACTAAATATCTGGTCAAGCACATCTACTTATTGGTATAGGTCTCGGTATAGGTACTCAAAATTATAGTAAATCGGCGAAAGTACACAGTTCTTTTTAGAACTACTTTTCATGCCACTTTATATATCATTGAATATAATAATTCAAAATTAACAAAACAATTCCTTGTCACAGGATGTTATTTAGAGCAGGAGTAGTTGATTTTGTCAATATATCAGCAATCATATCGTCTGTCTTTTTGTAGGCAATCTCAATTTCTCCTCTTCTTACAAGGTCTATCATGAAGTGTTCTTTTATAGATATATACTTCGACTTTCAGTTTATCACGGGGTTAGAAACCAATTTTTGCGCTGCTTGGTTGTCATTGTAGATCAAAATGTTATCTTGAATGTATCATTAATAACATTTTTTAAATGTATGGCTTCTTTTGATGCTTCTGTGAACGACATAGACTCATTTGACAGATGCGTTGGCAAAGATGAAACAATAGCCAGTGTAATATCTTCTGTCAATTGTACAAGATCCCTAATCAGCATCTGCATATCCTGTTATTTCTCTTCCAGTTTTTCTGTATTCAAGTTTCACATTTTTGGTTCCTTGTAAATACCGCAAAACACATTCAAGGTATAGTTTATCCAAAAACAATTGCAGAGTCTCGTGCCGCACCTGCACTCATTTCAAAGGGAACTTCAAACACGCCGACACCGCACGATACAAGATTTTCTGCAATTGATATTGGATAAACTATACCTTATTGCATGAGAAATGTCTGGTCGAGTTGCTACTGACAGGTAAATGAGTGATCCAATCAAATTCTGGTATGGCATATTTGGCAATTTCTCTGGATTTCTCATTTTCTAATTTCAAGTTCTCTTCCTTGGGGCTATTTTCGCTTTTACAGTCTTGCATTTCTTTCTTCAATAAATCTTCGATATATTTTTGTTGGTTTATTGTTATGATTCTATTTTCTTGTTTGAATCTCATTCCCAAGCAGTTGAGTGCCTAAATCCCGCATGTCAAAACTTTTCATGAAATAATCAGTATAAGTTCTAATCTTGCATTCAAATCACTTTTTCCCTCTCATCACTAGCACTACCATTAGGTCTTCTATTTCTACCTGAAACATAGCCACATAATCCAGCTCGTGTTAATACTGCTTGCGCCTGTAGTTTCCAAGTACCATAATTGTCACTTTGTTCACCTAGGCCCATAACCTGTAAATCGGCAGAAGTATACAGTTCTTTCCAGAACTACTTTAATGATGACAAGTATATATTTTTCTTCCTGACAATCAATATATCGTTAAATATAATAAGTCAAAATCAACAAAACAATTCTTTTTCACAGGATGTTACTTAGAATAGGAGTGAACTGAGTATTTCACTATCCAACCAAAATACACAATGATTATGTATGAATAAGTACAACAAATAAATGATGAAACAATCGTCCTATCACCAGATTATCGTCATTAAGTTTTTGCAAACAAAAGTAGAGTCTACTTCTTAGTAGTTTCTTTATTTTTTGCGGAAACAGTCAGTATATCTTCATTGTATTCTTCAGTTTCCATTGGCAAATGATTATGCATCTTAACTATATTATAGATGAATGTGCCCTTGATTTAAGAGAATGAAGGTAATTATTCCTTGAAGTCTGTCTCGTAGAATAATGATAAGAATTCATTTCAAATGTCTGAATATGTTTTTTCACTAGACAGTTTACAAAATGAAAAAAATTATGACAGTCAATATATTTTTGTCAATAAACACTTGTCTGCATGACTTACTTGGTCCAATTCCACAAATACTTCTAACAGTATTTTTTTGTAAATTGAAAACTGAACCCAGCAAATTAGAGTTGCATACTCGCCAAAATAACACAAAACTTGTAGAAGTATCATACCCCAACCCACTTTGGAGATATTTTAATTAGAACTTGTTTGAAGACAGCTCACAATAATTATTTTCAATCAAAATATGTTTGAACTACAGCTACTAAGATTGTCAGGTCGGTAGCTATATACACTAGTTTCGATGATGAATTGGTGTGCTGGATCAAGTATGACATACCCAGAACACTGACAGAGAGTTGATTTTTTTGCAATTTATACTCCAATAGCATTTTCATTAGATTTTGGGGATACTGATTCTAATAATAATATCTTTTTCCAAGAAAAAATACTTTTACCCATCTCAATACAACATACAATCACCACCAGAATTTCAAGAAAATAACATAATAATTAGTAACTGTGATATAAAGGGTACATTTATGAAAAGATTGACACACTGTATATATACAATTTCTCTCTCTATTTCTTGTGTGAATTATGGTATGAAATTTGATGAAAGTAACTTATTTCTATCTATTGCACCCGAAAGTGAAGAAAAGTTAATAATATGAGGTTAATTTGATAAGATGAAGAAGTCACTGGAGCTATTGAAAAAGGCATATGGAATTAATTTTGAAATAAACATGCACATAGATGATATCCTTTATTTAAATTACACATTCAGATGAAGAATGTAGGCAATTTTTATAATGGTGATTTGACATAAATGGATACTAAATTTATTTTCTTTTTTCTTTCAAATGATAACACGATTATAGTGGCTGGATTGTTGAATCTAGAATGAAATCTACATGCAGTTAAGCTTATAATTATAATTGTGTTGTATTATGGTCATGAAATGATATCAGATACCTCTCAACAATTGTTATACGATACTGTTTAAATGATACAAATCCAAAACTTGAATCATATGCATTCAAGATTTTGTCAAGATATAATAATACGGTCCAGTAATTAATGCAAATTCTTATTGATTCGTGAAATTTCGTTTTATAACTCTAGTTAGAACTCGTCCATCCAGACTAATTTCAAGGTTCAATAGTTAGATTTCAAGAAACATAATTATCATGGGGCAGGGTCAGACTATACTGTCTAATTTCTAACTTGATAGGAGAACAAATTTTCATGGCAATTGCCTTCACAAACTATAACAGGTCATACCATATAGCCATATAACATAATCACTGCATTATATTTTGTATATACATATAATTATGTATTGTAGATATAGTCTAGATTTTAGAATTTCCTGATACATTTTTCTTTTGTTTTCGGTAAAACTCATGACAGAATCAGAATAGTCCCTAGGGAAGATCCTAGAATCTTACTTGGTTATTCAGTTCCAAGTATAGACGATGATAATTCTAAAGTTGCGAAGAATCATAAAGTGGGTTGTCCACCAAAGAAAATTGTGATTGAATTTCCATTGGCACGACCATACATAAATTGCATATCGGCCATTTCAGCATTTTTGTAATTTCATATTGAATATTTGAAAGGCACACTTTTACTTTCATTTACTTTATATAAATTAACGCTTATTAAACTGTCAACTACCACATAAAAATCGAAACGACTTGATAGACACCTACTGACAATTTTTTTTTTTTCGATTCGATTGCAGGAAGTCAGTTTATGCAGGATATCGTATTTTATATTTTTATCAAAAAACTATTGCATTTACGGAAACAACGTTTGAGTTGTTTGTTATAAAGTTCGGGTGGACATGGGAAAGGGGTTGCATGTTTCCCATTTTGAAAGATCACAACAAAAAAACACATTTTTTTCTCATTTTTGAAAGTGTGTAACTTCCCAGGGACATGAAAGACACCCTTTTATTTTTGACAAGGAATAATCCCCTATAATCTTTCGCACTTATTTTGAAACACCCTTTATAATATGATACATGAAGCGGGACATGAATATTAACTGTCATTCATGGGATGAATCCATAAACGGAAAATTAATAATTATTAGAATGTTTCCACTCCCCTTCACCTGCATTCTCTACATTCACCTTGCATAACCATGACATTAGTTCTGAAAATGCAACAAAATACCTAGAAATTGATATGAACTACAAAATCATTGTTAACGTATGTACTTATATACTGTAAATTTGAAAAGAAAAACCATATCAAAAGCAAAACATTTCCAAAAAATAACATAACATTAATTTATCTACCAAAATTAAAATCCACGAAATGATTTGCAAACCACTGCTTGAATATGACATATAATATTCCAGAGCAATGTCAAAGTAGCTGAAACAACTGCTCTACGTATCCTCCCAATAAACTACTGTATGAAACAAGGAGAGGAGAGGAGGAGAGGAAATACCTCGAAAATACTAGCTCACTTCTTCACAGAATTCAGTGAGAAAGCCGAGATAAAGAATGTTATGTCCCCATTCTCTATCATAGGAACACAATATAAACACCCTGAGCACAGTTTATGCAGAGAGACCCGTTATATGAACTTTTTTTTTCTTAATATAAAATCTGTATGTCAACTATCTCGATATGTATATGTATAAAACTTGTACATACATTGTGAAGTACCTCGGTCGATGGCCTTTTGAGTATTCATACTCAGTGAAGTTCATTTATTATTATTACATGGATAATATTTATCTTTTTGTCATCATTATTTCAAAAT